AGATGGTATGCCTGGATCACTTCATTTGCGTATTCAGTATGCCCAAAATAGAGTTTTATTCGTTCTCCGTTCACCTTAAACCGCACTCCCTCCTTGGTTTCTAACTCAACTGCTCCATGAAAGAATAATTGGGTAATCAAGTAAGGTCCCGTCCATTTGGACTTGAGCTTGCGCGGAAGCCAACACAACCTAGAATAGTCTAAAAGCACCAAATCCCCAACCATAAACTCTTGTTTTTCACTTTTTATGTCATAATCCTTCTTCATCTTTTCTTTGGAGCTCACCACTCTGTCTCATGGACCTACAAATGTTGAAGGTCGCTTCTTCATTTTTCAACCGAAATTTCATCTGCCCCTTTTCCATATAAACTAAGGCTCTACCCGTAGCAAGAAATGGCCTCCCAAGAATAATGGGTATTCCAAAATTGACTTCACAATCAAGACTAACAAAATCTGTCGGAAATATGAATGACTCCACTTTTACTAGCACATCGTGGAGTATCCCTATAAGCCTTTTCACTGTTTGATCGGCCATCAGTAGCCACATGGAAGTGGGCTTTGGGTCACCCAAACCCAACTTCTTGTAAATCGAGAGGGGCATGAGATTTATGCTTGCCCCAAGATCACATAATGCTTTCGCAAAATGTAATGACCCGTCTGTACAAGGAATAGTGAACGCGCCCGGATCTTCTTTCTTTTGTACGAGAGATCTTGTAGCAATAGCACTACAATGTTGCATTCTATCATCACCCTCGAAAGTGACCGATCTTTTCTTTGTAACCAGATCTTTCATAAACTTCGGATAACCTGGCATTTGTTCTAGAGCTTCTACCAAAGGGACATCGATAGAAAGCTGCTTCAACATTGTTATAAAATGCCGATATTTACCATCATCGCTCTTTTTCACTAATCTCTGAGGAAAGGGTGGTGGTGGTATAGGCATGGAAATTACCCTTATAGGCACTTTAACATCTTTTCCAGTGTTATCTTCTACTTCACCACTACCCTCTATCACCTTATCATTATCTTTTATCACCTTTTTCTCCTTAGAAGGCATAGGTGGGTCAATGTCCTGCTTACCACACAATAATGATTGCCATACAGTGTCTGTCATTTTTCAGATTTTGGACAGTGTTGCTAGGAAGAGTGCTCGGTTGCCGTGTGTTCACAGTCACAAATAATTGGGCCATTTGCAACTCAATCTGCTTAATTGATATTGCATGTGTATCGACTTTCTTCCCAATACCCGCTAAATCACTCCTTAACTCTTTAATATGCTCATCATTAGCATCGAACCTCCTCATCATTTTGTGGAACATATCCTCAACTCGGGCCATACTATTTCCACCATCCTAGGAGTAACTTCACGATTTTGAGGAGGGACATATGGCCCATTGCTATCAATTTTGTTACCATAGTTACCCCTATTGAAGTTGTTGTCGCGGTTGTAATTTCATTCTCGAACATAATGACCCTCACGGTTATAGTTACCATAGATCCGACCTTGGTTTCCTTGACCTTGGCGCCAATTCTCCTGAGTAGAGCCTTGGGCACTCCGTCGGAAACCCCCTGTCTGCTCATTTGCCACATAGAAATCCTCTTCATAATAATATTCATCATTTGGTGGTGGTGGTTTCGACAAGTAGTTGACTACATTTATCTTTTCTGCACCCCTAGTGACATGCTTTAATACCAACCCAAGCTCAGTTCTCATCTAAGCCGTCTCTTCACGAATCTCATCTGTGGCCGGGTTGTGAGTGGATTGCACTACGAAGGTATTTCTCCCAGTATCTGACTTCCTAGTACTCCAAGCTTTATTGTTCCGGGATATTTTCTCTAACTTTTCAGCAATATCATCATAAGGACACTCCCCATAAGAACCACCCGCTATAGTCTCCAACACCGCTTTATTATCATCATCATGTCCCCGATAGAAGTATTCCTTAGTGACTCATCATCTATGCGGTGATTGGGGACGCTTCTAAAAAACGAGGTGAATCTATCCCAAGAACTACTAACTGGATCTCCTGGTAGTACCACAAAGTTGTTCACTCTGTCTTTGTGGTTTAGTTTCTTGGAGAACGGGTAGTAGCGTGCTAAGAAAACGTCCCTTAGTTGGTTCCAAGTGAAAATTGAGTTGTAAGGGAGCTCAGTGAATAAAATAGCGGCCTCTCCCGTTAGTGAGAGAGGAAACACTCTTAGCCCTATTACATCCAAGTCCAAGTCAGACCTCCCTACAAAGCTTTTACACACTGCCCTTACCTTAGCTATATGGGCATGTGGATCCTCGGAAGGTAGCCATGAAAACAAACCTCTGATAGTGAGCATTTGCATCAGGCTACTAGCTACCACAAAGGTGTGGCTTGGTGGTAGAGGGGGAAAGACAAGTGGTCCATCGGAGTCTGCTATATTTTCATAGCCTCTGTAGTATTCTTGGAGCCGTGGAGCGGGATTTCGTCCCCTCCGTTGGTTTTCACCCGGAGCATCGGGTAACAACTGACCATGAACATCAACTGGAGCTGGGATGTTCTGGTGTGGATCATCATCATTAATGCCCAAATTTCGATTCATGTTGCGTAGTGCATGCTCTAATTCGTGATCGTAGGGAAACAAGGGTTCTCTTCCTCTTTGTGTATTTGGCATACAAGGAAGATAGTTCTGCAAGAATCAAAAAATATAAATAAAGTAAAATTAAGAAATAACGACTAAACTATAGTAACAAGTTTAAGTTAATCTAAAATCTACTTTCCCCGGCAGCGGCGCCAAAATTTGATACGCTCAAACTTCCTTCTCAAATAAGAAGTAAAGTGGTCGTATCAAGAACCCAACTAATGAGGTTAGGATCGTTCCCACGAGGAAACTAGTTCATACTTAACTTCAATCTATTATTACTACTATTTAGTCAATTATTTCCTTGGAAAACAAAGTCAATAAAAGGGTTTTTTTTATTTCTAAATGAATGAAAATAACTAGCTAAATTAAATTAGATAACTAACAGATTCAAATGTTGGAGTTTAATCAATTAATAAAAGTAACTAGGTTTTACGTGTTCCCCACAGGTTCCTAATTTGATAATTCTAACTATAAAATTTTTTTCCTAGTATCTTGCATGCAAAGTGATAAGTTATGTATTTCTAAATCCTTGGTTCGGCATCTAGAAAATTTTACTCCGCACCTTGGTCCGGCTACGTGTATTGCTATACTAACCCTTACCTTTACCTCATATTAAGCATTGTATTTGATATTTGACTAAGTTATTACCTCGTACCAATCAATACTAGCCTATTAGATAGTATACACTAAATCTATGTTGATAATTCTTTTCCTATTATCTACCTCCTTGGTCCGGCAAGTAGCATTAAGGCGAGTTCTAACGTTGGCCATCTGTTAAAAAGACTTCTAAGCGAAAGAATTATCAATACATGCAAGACACTATTCTAGAATTGTTATTTTAGTTAGATTTTGTCTTATTATTTCCCCATGGTTCCCACAACCCTAGTTATGGAGTTTAGTTACCCATAGTCATAATCACAATATTCATATATATGATATATCAATTCATGCACTTACTTCGATGAGAATGAATAAAATTCAGAAATTTACTTGATTAATCGACAAAATCACCAACAATCAACTCTAGATAAAAGTGTAATAAACCAAATTGTAATAATGAAAATAATATCCTCACAAAGAATCTAACATAAAAGTGTCTAATAACCAAGAGTCTAACCGTATGAGAGTCTAATCCCAAAAATGAGGTTTTTACAACTATTTATAAAAAATAAAAACCTAATAAAAGAAGGACTCTAATTGCAGGAAATCTGTCAAAACGCGGATGGGTCAACGGACCTCGCGACGGATCGTCGTGGTCAGGACAGGCCGTCATGGACTCTATCGTCCCATACTTTGCAAACTATTCTGTTGATCTCTTCATTACCCTCGACGGCAGGTATGAAGGATCGTCACAGGCACAACGGTCCGTCGAGGGTCTTCGTTCCATAACACTTGAACTCTTGGAATTTGGGTACTGGACTACTTCTCTGATCATCACGACGAACGAGCAGGACGAACCGTCATGGCTACGACGGTCCGTCACGGACTTCTTAACCTCACACTTGGTCAGACTTTCCCATCTTCCTTCAGCAGCTTCACACGATGCCACCTATGGACCGTCAGAGGCACGACAGACCGTCACAAGCTCCGTAGGTGGTACTTTTCTGCATTTCTTGCTCAAAAACTTCCGCGTTCATCTTTACACAGATTTCCTGCAAATAAAGAGAAACTTACATAAAAATTAATACAAAAAGGCTTTTGGACACACACTAAATTTAAGGAAAAAGCATTAAAAATACCGTGAAACCACAGTATATCACCTTCTACCCTGCATAAAATTATACATAGATTTTTTGATAAGTTATGTAAGTATTAACTATGTAGCACTACAAAAATACATCCAAACATCACATAAAATCAATACATGTATAACTTTATACAACATTGGAGACACACCAACCAAATGTTGTATAAAATTTATACATTGATTCTATATCAAATCAAACTTGTTACAAAAGTTATTCATATATTAACTTTGCATTTATCGAGTAACCAAAGGCCCCTTATTACTCATATTCTGTAGTGTTCCACAAGACTTGTTAAAGGAAAGAGAAGACTTACTCTCTATGTCCTAATTTCCGTAGATGTTGAGTTCATTAACAATCATTGTAGTGTGTGTTACGCAAGATGATGTGGAATTGAAGTCATTGAGAGCAAGGTTTGGTGATTAAAGATGATAGAATTGGAAGAGGGTGTTGTTGGGATGAATTGTTCCATGAAGGTAACTACAATTAAGGTCTAGATCGATAACATGTCATAAGTTTGTAGGATAATTGTTTGAAATGAAGCAAAATGAAGAACAAACACATCAACTTAGACATACAAAACAGAGAAATGAATAAAATAAAAAGAGACGCCCCATACACAGAGTGTATAGCTTAACTTAAATTAAGTCTGTCGTCTATGAGCTCTCTTCTTCGGCCTTCTTGTTTGTTGGGGATTGATGTCATCCAGAATTTTCACTAACCATTTTGTCTTACCAGCATTAAAGATGAGGGTAAACACAACAGTTCCAACAACTAGTCCACAACTATAGCCTATAAACATTGATTCCCAAGTAAATCCACTTCCAAAGTATAATTCGTCATCTTTATCTTCTAAATCAAGTGGTTGAGGAATATGAGATTGATCACATTGCATTGATGAAGGAAAACCACATAAATCAAGGTTGCCACCATACGAGTCGTTTGCAAATAATAGACCTCGAGGAATCGAACCAATAAAAAGATTGTGGGAGAGGTTTAAATTTCCCAGACTGATTAGCCCTACCAATTGCCACAGCATCTTTCCTGTGTGCCTATTCCAGGAGAGATCTAGCTCTTCAAGCATATGCATTTCCGTAATTTCAAAATGGTTTCTTGAGAGATCTATGTTGGCTGCCACAATAGTGTTGATTCTTTCAAACTCAATATCCTGGCCTTTGATCACCAACCTCATGGAATCCTCATACATTAAGTCACCAAATTCACCATCAAACACTAGTCTAATATATTGCATTCTGTCATCTAATTTGATAATCCATTTGAAGTTTTGAAAAGCTTCTGTAGGTAGTGAGTCGGTGAACTCATTATAAGATAGATAAAAAATCTGCAACCTGGGAAAGTAAAATTTCTTCATAATACTTATAGGTCCGTAGAACTTGTTTGATTTTAATTTAAGGACATGCAACTCTCGAAGAGTTCCTAGCCAAGCTGGAAATGTACCATATATGACATTGTTCCCCACATCAAGGACTTCTAGACCATCACAGTTGAGCAATGACATCGGAACGGGTCCTTCAAATTGATTACCATTCAGGACAATAGTTCTCAATGAAGTGTTCTCCGCACATAATGGTGGAATACTCCCTGTGAAATTGTTCCTCTTTAAGTTCAACACCATTATATTAGGCATGTTTCCCAAGAAACATGGAATCGAGTTATTGAAATTGTTGCGTGATAAATCCATCATTCATAGTTTGGTTAGTTTACATATGGATGAAGCTAGTCTACCCTGAAGGGATTTAAATTTAAGATCTAGATACTCTAGATTATGATAATGAAATTTTAGTAGGTGGCTGTTAATAAATAAGACGAAAGACTTAGGAACCGCAACAAGTCCCATTTCATGCCATTAAACCAGTTAGGAATTGGACCACGAATCTTATTGTTAGAAATATCTAAGTCTATAAGTGCCTCTATATTTGTCAACAAGTGTGGAAATAAAAAACAAGACGATAACTGCAAAACTTCTAGGCTAGGAAAATTGATTTGTATTCCAACATCAATGGTGATGTTATTTGATGAAAGATCAAGATGAAATTCATACAACAGAGAGTAAGAAAGATCAAGTGAAACCAAATTGGAAAGGTATGCGATTTCTGTTGGGATTTTTCCATAGAAGTAAGAATCAGAAAGGTTGAGATGCCTCAAATTCCTCAATCGGCCAATGTAATGTGGGATTGAAGAATGATTGAAGTTATTGTTATCAAGTTTTAGTGTCTAGAGATGATGAAGTCGGAAGAGGCTACTATTGGGCTGAAAAGTTCCAAAAAGCTTACTGCAACTAAGCTCCATGTCGATAACATGACCAGTTAACATGTCACACGTGACTCCGTCCCAAGTGCGGCAATCCCTAATCTCATTCCAAGGCTTTGTTTTTTGGTAAGAAATATCACATTGAAAACTAGAGTAATCAAATATTTTATAAGATTTCTTAAACTGAAGAAAAACAGAAGCTTCAGTGGGAGAGCAAAGATGGTTATCAAAGGAAGAAGAAAAACATCTACTTATTAACAACACAAGACAGAGAAATGAATAAAAGAAAAAGAAACGCCCCATCTTTCTTTTTTCGTATTCAACAAAAAACAGGATGGATGTTCTTTTCTTACAAATCAATCATCGGTATCCATATATATATATATTGATGTTGAAGATTCCACCAATTTTGACACACACTGCAAAAAAATATTTTTGCAAAGCCAGTGTGTTCTTAAACAATATGTAACTTCAAACAAATTTCCAAAATAGTGATGGATTTACACGTATCGTGTGCCGTTTTTCCATCTTGCACGTTATCCACTAGTTTTCTTTTCATTCAAATAATAAAGAAGAAGAAATCAAACAAAGGATATTCTAATCCAAACACTGATCATTCAATGGTCCCACAATCTACAAAGTTAAAATGTGAACTTGAGACAAATATCTCCTACAGAAGACAAGTTTTATTGACTTAAGGATTGAACCACGAGTAACACATAACCAAAAATTGCTACTATCTTATTGTTGTCCACAACAACAACATACTCGATGTTATCCCACAAGTGAAATCTGGGAAGGAGAGTAGTATGTACACAAACTCGTGGAGGTAGAGAAGACAAGTTGTTTCCTACACTTATGACAACCTGGTAACAATATTTTATATTTCTTTAATATAATTTTATGTCTTGTAAATATTTTTCTAGCTATAGTATCTTGAAATTACAATAGAAAAATAATTTTCTTAAATATTGGATAATTTTAGCTTATATTAAATCTGATAATGAACGAGAAATTTATTTCATAGTATATTTTTTTAAAATAAGACATATATAATATTATTTCTAACTCAGATACTTATTAAAATATTAAAATATCTAAAACCTTCTGACGCATGATTGTAATAACATATTGCTTTGCTAGAATAATTTCTCGTCAACTTATATGCTAGTTTGGTTTATGCAATTGTTATACGAGTAGGTAGTTTGCTTTAATATTTCGATTGCATTAATTCATCAAGATTTTTAGTTTTTCTTATGAAGGTTGAATAACCTAGCGAAAATTATAGCTACGCGATTGAACATCCCCATTAAAGAAATATCTCTAGTTTTGGGATATGCTTATCATACTAATGCTTATTATACTAATCCTTTGTTATTTAATTGACTTTATGTTTTGATATTATTGTGCATAAAAACCAACTTTATGTATGTGTTGAAGCATTTACATGTCAATGACATTACAAGCTAATTAAGCCTATTAATTGGCTGCCTTGATCATGTATAGCGATGGTAAAATTAGCCCGTAAAATAAAATTCATCTATTCTTTCATGTTTTTGTTGATTATTTATTCGTTCATCATCAAATATTTCAAAAAATGAGTGTATTTTTATTTAATATGTTATATACGGTCATATTACAAAAGAAAAATAGATGGCACGGTGGTAGGTGGCACCATCATTCTTCAAAAATATTGATAGATAGCACTAACATTCTGTACACCAAAATGCATCACCTTGTAACCATAATTTGCACCATTTAAAGATGTAGTGTCAAATGACGGTCAGTACATGAAATTTATGGTATGTAAATAGCTAAATGAAACAACTGTTGAACTTTTTTTTGAAAGAGTAAGTATGATGGTAGATTGTAAAATAGTCAACTGAAAAGTAAAACACGCATATGTACTTTAACAACCAAGCTTTAAAACTGAATATGTATGTAATAATAGCGAATATTGAAAATAACGTAATTTACTTTTCATGAGGATTTTCTCTGAATGTTAATCATCACGTGATCAATTCATAATGATACAACATTGATCTTAGGTATATTTATATGCCCATAATGTTACGTATGTCCATATTTGTGCTAGTTTGGAGTCGTTAAGTTTATATTTAAGAGTTATATTGAGTTAATTCTATGTTTCTGAGCTAACCAACATGATTCGTTGTGTAGGGAGGCTATTTGGAAGAAATATTCATGAAAAAGGACTAAGGAAGCAATATGGAGATTTGACGTATAATCATACTTCAAAAGCCACGTGTTGTCCTCGCGTCGCACAGAAGGAAGTGAAATATCAATTCAAGAATTAATTTTGAGGCAGAAAACCTCGTGAAGAATCCGCTTCACGCGACAAGGCTTCTAATTTTGATATGAGATTCGAATGTTGTTGCATGTCGCGCATCTGAATTGGTCGTTTCGACTTTTAATATAAATAGGGTTTTATTTTAGTTTTATAAGAATTCTTTTTCTAATTTTTGAATGTGAAGATGGGGAGAAAGATACTTGGAAGTTTTTAGGGTTCATTTCTTATCTCTTTATATTTCAATCTTCTTTTGATGATTCATAACCATTGTAAGATTGATGGTATGATTTTGAGTAGCCAAAAACCCTAGTTCTACGGCTGTGGCTACATGAATATAATGTGTTGAACTTGGCAAGGGTTTTATCACGAATTATCAATGAATCGTTCTTATGTTCTTGCTCTTGGTATTTCATGTTTGATCACCATAGAAATATATATATTGTCTGAATTGAACTCGAGAGAGGAATAAGAGGATATAATGTGGAGCATAAGGATCTTGTTCAACTCTGAATATCTAGGGTTGATTTGTTTCTAGGATAAAGACATACCTAGAAATCTTTCTTGAAGCACCATACAATAAGATATTGTAATGCTCAATGTTTATTCACTCTATCCGCGCTCAACGATGTAGTTAGGGTGATATCTATTGTAGGCAATTAAAGGTCCAGAGACCATGACCATACATCTAACCCTGTGATTCAGTGATGAGATAATTCCAAGAAAATTTGTATTAAACGATCTTGATTACATGATTCTTAGTAAAAATTTTCGCCCTGGATCTTTCCCAGATCATTGTTTGAAACTTAAGGAATTGAATCATAATAGTTACACTTTATTTTAAATAAAATTAGTTAGTTAACAATCTTTACAAAATCTGGAAATTTTACTTGTGTTGAGTTACGAGTTGGAGAAATCGATAGAGTCTAGTCTTAAGTCCCTGTGGGTACGATACCCGACTCTCTAACAAGAGTCACTTTATTGCTTGTACGATCACGTGCACTTGCGTGTGCAATTTGACCGTAACAAGTTTTTGGCACCGCTGCCAGGGACTTTAACAATTAGGAAATATTTGATTTTTCTAGTTTTAAAGTTAAACACAAGTGTTGACAACTTTTCTTATCATTTCGTTGTTGCAGGTTGCATGCTACTCCAAGCTGGACAAAGATCAACAATTGTTGTTTCCTCTCTTGGAACCTGAAAGATCCGTACATAAAAGGCGGAGACAAGCAGAATATCCAATCCCTTTGGTTATTGGGTAAATATCATCTCCAACCATTAAGATGGAGGAAAGAGAACAAACACCTGAAACAATGGCAACTAATGAGATGAGAGTTAGAGATGTGGCAATCCCATGACTCACCAATGTGAGTTCATGAATTCAGAAACCTGAGGCTGGTGGGAGATTTGAACTGAAGCAGGGCATGGTGCAAATATTGCTCTCAAATGGGCAGTGAACTGGTCTTTCTTAAGGATCCTATGATTCACATACAGAACTTTCTGGAAATCAGTGGTACTTACACTCCAACTGGAGTGAATAAAGATTATGTGAGGCTCATTTTATTCCCCTTTTCTCTGTTGGGGGAAGCAAAAAGATGGTTGAATTCAAAGCCCACAAACTTAATCACCACTTGGAATGTTCTAGAACAGAAGTTCCTCATTAGATTTTTTCCATCTAGAAAGACAACTAAGTTGAGGAGTGACATATTAAGTTTTAGGCAGAAGGGTGGTGAGAACTTGTACCAAGCTTGGGACAGGTTCAAATCGATGTTGATGAATTGCCCTCATCATCATCAAGCTAATGAGGTGTTAGTCCATACTTTCATTGAAGGTCTAGAGACTAACACCAATATATTTCTTGATTCAGTTGCAGGTGGACAAGCTTTAGAGAAGACTTATGCAGAGTTATACACATTGCTGAATCAGTTTCTCAAGGGAATGGGAGTGCACTGAAACCGGTAGTTCAGAAAACCGTAGGTGTACTAGAGATTGATGTTGTAACTTCTTCAACTGCACATATTTCTGCCATGCAAAATATGATGAATACACATTTCAGTAAA